TGAATGGGATGAAAATTGATGATATACCTACGTAAATATCTAATTCAGTTGAATCTACAATCCCAAACTTTTTGAAAATAATGTTGCTACTGAGTTGTATTTGAGCAGATCCAAGCGAAATGAAACATTGAGTAATTGTTTGTTGTGGACAATGATTCACATTTTCGGGGCTGTTACAAGATTTTCTAAATTTGATCCGCGAAATCCGCGATTTTTGAAAAGAAATCCGCAACTTCAAATACTAATCCGCGCCAAAAAAAAAATTTCATTGCCTAAAAATAGCATTTGTATACTACTACATGGCATTTCAAGCTTATAGCATATAAGATTTTTGCCTACTCTCAACTTAGTGTTTTTTGAAGTACTTTCACATTTTAATTGAGAGCTTTGTATGCCCGTACCATCCTATGCCCAAGAAAATAGAGAAATTTTCCAAGCCGAAAAATTAAAAGACCGGGCGTGAATCGAAATCAGTCGCCTCCAGCATAAACTTGCTTTGTAGCTGCGTCTTTACCGACTGAGCTAAAGGAGTATCGTTTGTAACCTTTAATTTTTTTTTTTTAAATTACATTGTATCATCTTCAGTTATTTATGTAGTATAAATTCTGAGTAATTAGTGAACATAATAAAACACCCTTACATTATGAGATTCTATTGAATAATACCGGCCTAGTTTTGATGAAACATTATTTATAAAAAAAATACATTTTCATTTGAAATGCAAATTTTCTTGACGTATTTTGCTGTCCTAAATGTTGTAGTTAATTTGGCTCTAGTTTTCTCAATGTTTTACCGATTCAAACCAAACATCCTGAACATAATCGAGAAATTACCAGAGCTTCATAAGTCACACTTGTTGGTCACGTCGCGGTTGTGTATTTACACTGATATTCCTTGGGTTCTGTCCAATGGTGAGACATTTTCATTATTTATTTTTTTCTAATATGAACCTAGCACTTTTCGTTGTCAAATCATAACCGAATCGTATATGACGTATGTGACTTTGTGGATCATGCACGACTTATTAGTATGTATACCGAAAATTATAAGTTTTTCAAATCGTCCAGGACATCAGTTGATTTGCTCTACTAGATCAAAGAAGACTGCAATAATGTCTGTAGTATCGGAAAATGTCCAATAAGATTCAAAGTGTCTATGTGGATCATGCATGATCTATTTCCGAGTAATCCAGGTGTTCAAGGTTCTTCAAATCATCCTGGAGTTCAGATAATTTGATCTACTACATCAACCGAGATTGGGACAAGACATAGTATCGAAATATTTCCAGATAGATGCACAGAGTCTATGTGGATCGTGCATGAACTATTGCCATGTACATATACCATATGTTTTAAGTTCTCCAAATCGTGATGATTTATTCTACTAGATCAACCATGACTGGGATAAAGTCTGTAGTATCGAAATATGTCCAAACAGGTTCATAGTGTCTATAATGTTTAATTATTTCCACGTATCCCTAATAAAAATGTTATGGTTAATTTGCTTAACGACGTGTTCTGGGTATCATCCAAACCATTTGTGGAATAGTTCCATCATTTGGGTTATCGTTCGTTTATGGTAATTTTTTATTAGGGATACCAGATGATCTAGGTTCTCCAAATCGTCCTGCAGTTCAGATGATTTGTTTTACTAGATCAACAAAGACTAGGATAATATCTGTAGTATCGAAATACCGATTTGGAAATCCTAGAACATTTGGCATACACGAAAATAGGTTGGCATGATCCACATAGACACTGCAAATTTATTTGGACATATTTCGATACTACAGATATTGAATTAGATTGGGTGATCTAGTAGAAAAATAATCTGATCTCCAGAATGATTTCAGAACCTATAACATCTTGTATACGTAGCAATAGGTCGGGTACAATCCACATTGACACTTTGAATCTGTTTGGACATATTTCGATACCACAGACATTATTGGAGTCTTGGTTTATATAGTAGAAAAAATCAACTGAACTCCAGGACGATTTGGAGAACCTAGAATATCCGGTATACATGACATTTACTCGCATATATACAATTTGTTTATGATTTGACAACGAAAAATGCTATGTTCACCTTGGAAAAAAAAGGAAAATGATTTGCATTGGACAGACCTCAGGGAATTTCCGTGTAAATCCGGTGTGACCTATTGAATTGAGATCATTTCTCGATTATTGACACGGTGTTTGGTTTGAACCGGTAAAAAATTGAGAGCCAAATGAACAACAAAATTGATGACAACAAAATAGTCCGGGACGGAAAGGTTACAATGAATTCCACAATTTTTGTGACAGCACATCAATCCCTTCGCGATTTTCGCGACATTATTTAATGTTTCCGCGATTTTCGCGACTGAAAATTCAAATCCGCGAAAATCGCGAAATCCGCGCCTGTTGTAACAGCCCTGCATTTTAAATGCCGTTTCCGTGCTACAATTTTTGAAAAATTATAAAGGCGCCATTTTGCAAGTTTTTTTTTTTATTTATTTAGGAGATTTTCAGCCGTAGGCTGGTTCATCTCCGAAAGCCCCTGAAGGGGACTCCCCTAGTAACGTAGTGTAGATTTTTTCGGTGAACCCTGAGGAGGTTCTCCTGGGTATAGATGTGCTTAGGGTGTTCCCTTGGTACATAGTGGTTTTTACAGAGTTTGTTAACGTTTGTGTTTCGTGGTTGTTCAGCGTGATTGGCGGTTCATAAAAGGGATGGCAGTGGTCGTTGTAAAGGGTAATCAGATTATCGTTGTGTGGTATCCATTCTAGAGTCAATCGGGTTCGTGTTCGGTGGGTTGTTATTTTGTATAGGGAGTCGGTGATTAAATTTTATCGAACAATCCAGCATCTTTAAGAAAGGTTATTAGAGCAGCTTCCGTGGATGGGTCGTTAGACAGGGCATTGCGTATGTTGTACGGGATTCCGTTGTGGACCCGGATGTTCTGGAAGCAGGGGCAGTTGACGATCAGGTGTTCGACAGTCATTATAGAGTTGCAGGTGTCGCAACACTTCTGAAAAGATGTAGCGCTACCCATACTATGGGTTACTCGGGTGTGTCCAGATCGGAGCCGAGATATAACCTGTTGTTCTCGTCGACTCGTAGTGTCCTTCCATTTGAAGATGTCGTCCTTTATTTTCCTTAAGAAAGGTCCCCTTTTTGTAACCCACTCTTGGTACCAGGCGTCTCGAAGGGTTGTTTTCACCCATGTTTTATGTCTGAACTGGGAACAGATGTGGTAGTCTCCGCCGAGAAGACGGAGCATTGATCGGGAAGTCGAAAGAATAAACTGTTGAACATCTGCTACTCCGTATCCTCATTTTCCCGCAGCCTTGGAGCCGTCCGTGAAGCGGTGTTGAAACTTGGCATATTTAGTTCTGAGTAACTCCACTAGGTGGCTGCCTTAAAGTGCTTGGCAATCGAAAGGTCAACATGTAGGGTTGGCTCTGTCCATCCTCTGGCTCCGATCCAGTGTAACCTGGACACGGGTGGGAGCTCCTGATGGACCAGGCTTCCTAGGACTCTATTCCCCTCTCTGAGGAGAGGTCAGTGGTCTTTTCTAGGTAACTGGATGTTCTGCAGCTCAGCGTTTCGGCGATTTGATATTGGAACGGCAGTACACCAAGTTCAACGCATGCCGATTCAGCGGGTATAGAGGGCAGAAGACCTGCGATGATCCGGATGGCCTGGTTGTAGGTTGGGGCTAGATGCGTGGTTAGAGTCTTTGGAGAGGCAGGTTAGTTCAATCCCATAAAATAGTCTACTGTTTACGGTGGCCTTGGCTACCTTTAGTAGGATCTCTCTGTTGCTGCTGTGGTGTGGTTTTGAGAGTGTTCGCAGGAGGTTTAGTCGCGTACGGCAATTGGCTTTAGTGTCAGTAAAGTGTGCGTTGAACCTCAGCTCTCGGTCCAGGCACACTTCGAGAACCTGGATGGTCTTTTTGTTGGGTATCGGAATGTTGTTCGCTAAGATGTTCGATTTTGCAAGTTCTAAAATGATACCAAATTTTGTTTTCATTTTGCTGTACATTTGCTTTTCATCATATTTTGTTGTGTGTTTGTTTTCATTGCCTTAGCATTACATCAAATTGAGTGGTTGTTTTGTTATCAACAAGGAACAAGAAAAAAAGGACATCAAATTAAGTTTTCAGTTTGCTCTCACTGATAGCAGAAATAGTTTTCAATGTGATGTCATAGGAAGATTTTTTTGCTTTGAACTTTGATATGTTAACCGTTAAAACGACCAAAACAACAGCAACCTGAGTAATCATTATCAGCGAAATAACAACATCAAATTTAGTTTTCAATTTGATCTCAAACTTTGCTCGGGTATTGTGTTAAATGAAAAGAAAAAATTTACCCATTGTAAACCGTAGTTATTATCCCTAATAAAATTTGTATGACGTGTTCGGATATCATTTAAACCATTCGTGGAATAGTTCTAACATTTGGGTTATGGTTCATTTATGGGTTTTTTTTTTTATCAGCGATTTGGATTAGTGGCTTCATCTTCTTTCATTTGAACCAATTTAAGTAACACTCATCAAAAACAACTCGGAGATGAATAGTTAGGATAGTTTCTATGCCTAACTTTCCAGCTATTCGCCCTGCCAAACATTATATGAGTTGGAGTATTCAGAAAATTTGTAGAAAATATTATCAGAAGCAACTTGGCAGAAAATGCTACGTATACTTGCAAAGGCATAGTCAGCTATCTACACAGAATAGAGCATTTGGACTCTAAAAATTATTTTTTAATTCTTCGTAAAAAATAAGACTAGTACTATTATGTAGCTACAAACTAGTCGTCGGACACATGTCAAGAATGATTCTCCGAACCCTTGATGGCACCAATGGGCTATATGAATTACATGATTATGCATATACAGTATAAACTGATTCGGACTTGATGAATGACGTGAGGAATAACGAAAAGGATAAAAAATACAGAACAGAAACCAAATCTAATGAAACAAGTAGTGAGACCAAGATGAACACTTACCGATATGAAAAACCGAAAATAAAGGGAATGTAGGTACTAATTTATCCCTGGCAAAGGCGGGCCCCGAGGAGGAACCATACAATATTTGCCGTAACCAAAGTGGGTGGGAGTAATGCAAAATTCTTGACCTCGAAGGAAATCAAAACCGATCTTCTTGTTGTTGCTTACTTTCGATGCTGCTTTCTGTGGCTGGATGATTGGCTGATGATTTTATTGCGTATAAATTGCAAAAAAAAGTGTGAGTTGCTGATGGCCGCTTGCTCGCTCACGAGGGGCACAATAATTATTATTGCTGCAACTGTTTCAGATTTTTTTTTCACTGCTTTTTTCCACCTCTCCTCCACTTGGATGGCAATCGAAAATTTAGAACACTATTTTCTTCACAACGGGATTTAGATTTCACTGTTTTCTTCTTTCAATCAGTGACCTGCGGTGGTGAGGTAAGGGAAAGGAACATTTAGAAAAATCTCAGCTATGCAATGATCTTGAATGAATCAAAAGGAAATAACTACTCTTCTTGGTCCTGCAGTGCACTGTCACTTCCCCAATTTGTTTTCCAATATTGCCTCGGCTGTGGATAGATTTTTTTACGTAGTCGTCATCACCGTCGCCACAATACACACTACTCGAAGTGTATATGGTATAGTAGGTGTAGGTATATTTACAACGCGCACCATAAACGCGAACCGGAGGACGGTAAGCTCTCTTTCTTCATTGAGCAATGGCTCAACAACTCGACTCGAACACTGCCGTGGCCGTCAGCGCTGGTGCAACACAAACATAGCGGGATTCCTCGCTTTGACATTTCTCACTGCCATCACGGCATGTAAACATCGCGTACCGTACACCCACACAAACGAAAACAGTATTTGCGAACGAACACACTTCAACGAAGGGACAGCGTTGCCTGACGCGCTGAAAAGGCTGACCGAACAGTAATAGAAGTTGATTTTACTATAATAGTAAAATCAACTTCTATTACTGTTCGGTCAGCCTTTTCAGCGTATTCCAAAAACAATGTCATCTTACTTACTGTTCATGCCAGTCCTATCTGCTTGGATCGATTCTCTTAAACGACTTGCTCTTTTGATAACCACAGCTATACAAGCATCCAGAAATTCAAATTTAACAGCGGGTGTTTTCGCAACTGAGTTATTAACTAAAGAAAAAATTCGAAGAAGAGGATCGATCAATGCAATAATTATTGTGAATTGAAAATGAATAATGAATTATTCATTCAAACCATTATTGTTCGTCTAGAAATGCGTATTGATGAAAACATAACAAGAAAGCGTCTCAATCCACAAATCAGGCAACACTGTTCCCCCGCTGCTGACGGACGTCGACGAACGAACGTAAAAAGGCGAAAACGAAGAGGACACTGTTCCCCGTGCTCCGCTCCAGCGCACACACAACCAAAGGCAAGTCACTGGTCAACTCGCACACTGCAGCAGATTTTCAGCCCACTTTTTCAACATACAAAAATGTACCACAAAAAGGAAAATCGCCAGGTTTCCTTGGGTGATTTTTCCGTTTCTAGCATCAATCCGCAATACAGTATGTGACGAATATGCACAACGTTCTTCTAGACACAAACAGAAACCGACGTCAATATTCACCACTTGGATTACCGTTATTCGGTGACAGTTTTTAGCACTAGAAAAGGGATTTTTAACTCCATCAATGTGCAGTGAATGCAAGTTTTTTTTTTTCAGTATTTTCCAGCTGAATGTGATTGCGAAACGTCTGGAAAATGTTACAGTGACTAATAGGAAATTTTGTACGAACGGAAACAAAAATCGCGATTGGGTCTCGTCTGACTTCTTTACCTGCTGACGAACGAAGATGAACTGACACTGACACAACGTAACCAATCCGCCGCCACCACCATAAACTTACTGTCAAAACTGCAAGCTAGCAAAGGAACAAACGGAAACACCATAGCCCGGCGCAGATCTCTAATATTTCGAGTAGCCAGTGTACACGGTACGAAAAAGTCCCCAAAAGTAAGTTCTTTTCACTCATCTCGGCACTATTGACGAGTGCACGGATGGATTTGAGTTCACTCACTCGAGAAAAAGTGACAGAACAGCGGGGCCCTGTTTACTAAAAATGAACACATGAATAATACTCACGTAACATTTGAAACGGGTCTATCAACTTATGTACACGAAACTTGTTGAGCCTTTTTCGCGCTAACCGAATACGCTCACGTAAACTAACAACACCATCGGGCAGAGGAAATTCTCCCTTTCCCGATAGTGCTCTTGGTTTGCGTGGGCGTACTTCGGTTCCCGTGAAAAGGACCTAGCAAATTATTTACAAAAGTTGATAGGCCCTTTTCAAATGTTACGTGAGCATTATTCATGTGTTCATTTTTAGTAAACAGGGCCCCGCTGTTGTGTCACTTTTTGTCGAGTGAGTGAACTCAAATCCATCCGTGCACTCGTCAATAGTGCAGGAACCTAAAAGTAGGTAAAGCGAGTCAAAGTAGTTTTTATTTACTTGTGTGCAATTTGTATGGACTTTTCCACTTGCTTTCTACCCAAAAGTAAGTTGCTTGTACCCAAAAGTAGGTAAATGTGATTATACTCTACGTTGAATTGGGTTCTTTAAGGATATTGAGGTAAATGCATATTCGTAATCTGCATTAAAAATGGAACCCAAACCCTAAATTTCATCAATTTTGGTACACTGGAACTATTTCAGGCATAACATTTGATAACGGCACACAAGCATTTGTAAACAAACTTTCTAAGGCCCTTTACACGCGAACCAAAGTACTCCCACGCAAACCAACAACATCATCAGATAGGGGCAACTATCACCTTTCCGAAAGTGGTATTGGTTTGCGTGGGCGTACTTTGGTTCGCGTGTAAAGGGCCTTAGAAAGTTTGTTTACAAATGCTTTTGTGCCGTTATCAAATGTTATGCCTGATTTTAAATATGTACAGTTACATTTGCAAAAATCACCTTATTAGCGCCCCTCGGTGTCACTTTATATGAGAGCGAGCTGTCAGTTTGTCAGTTTAGTGTCAAACAGTGAAGTTATTATTTTGCTTTAAATCTTGATTTAAAAATCGAGATGAAAGTGTGTGGGTTCGAAAAAAATATCGCTGTGCTCAGAAAACGAAGCTCTTTCAGATGATACATAAAAACCTATATAATTTTCAAAACTAAAGAACCCAATTTCCACACTTTACTACCCCTGTTGGGTGATTTTGCTCTTCCGTTTTTGACAACATTAGAAGGAGAAAAGGAGACAAACTAGACAAAAGTAGGTAAAAGTGAACTGGCCGTTGGGTACTTTTTCTTATCGTGTACACAGTTAAGCACACCATTAGCTACCTAAAATTGCCGGTTAAAAATTATCGGTATGTTTTACCGATAAAAATCGTTACATGGGTTATTTTTTACTATTATTTACTATTAGGAAATTTTTAACACTAGTTATTGGTAATCTATGATTACCGATAATTTAGATATGTGCACTTTGTTTGACTATCGGTAATTTTTACCGATATCTAGGTATTCTTTACCGACGTTAAGGTATGTGATTTCAAATAGCGTGTTGGCTATTTTTTACTCTAAATAAGGACATTTTTAACGTTGATTATTGCGAATCCATGATTACCGATAATTTAGGGATGTGTACTTAAGCGAGTACTTAAGCTATACTCAGTTTAATCATAGCGAATGATTCTAAATTAATTATCTCTTGCCAAAAAATAATCATCTGATCACAGACAAACAGACGTAACTCTTTTAAAAACTTGTTCTTGAAAACATAGTATCTCAAAACATATAACCTCAGTAGCGACATCTCTCTGGCTTCTTGCGGAAAACAAGCTTGCTCGCTAACTCGTAAACAATATTGCGTAAAAGTTCTATAGAATATATAGAAACGTCAAAGTGATCCGATGCCAGCGCTGCGGCGAGAAGTTCGCGGAACTGATAATATTCAAATCAACCGTTAAATGCATGAACGAAGATACACAATGAAGAGTTACGTCTGTTTGTCTGTGATCTGATATTAAACCCACAGTTTAATCACAGACAAACTGACATAACACATTGAATATTTCTCACTATAAAACATCGTCGCTTAAACATTATCGCCATCTGTTGAGTACACACTTAGAAAATAATACCGAAGTCGGTTAAATTTTCTACCGAACTACATCGGTTACCAACAACGAACCGAAGAATTCGTGTAAAAATTAGTTTTTTAGGCGTATTTTCCGAGTCAAACCCAAATTTCGGTTAAATTTGACAGATAGGAATGAAGACTGAACCGAACAGTACGGTAAAGTAGCGATATTTACCAGTTCGGTACTTGAAAACCGAGAAAACTCGGTAAACTGAACCGAATATTCGCTAAACTTTCTCAAACGTCAAACTCACAACTTCGGTTCAACTTCACGACGGAAATTTTAACCGAAACTCGGTTTTTAGCTAAACCAAATATCGTCAGCCATTTTTTCTCGCGGGTGCGCGTTGTGTTTTTTTTTTCGCAAGACGTGTTTTTTCATTAGTGTCACACGGTGAATTGATTTGAAAATGGAAAAACTTCTGGAGGAACTGCATGTTTGATTGAATTCTATGTAGGAGGCATTATCACGACGTGTGAGAAGTTTTTTGTTTCCCTCAAGGGGGTTAACCCTCTCTTTCTCCCCGCACAGGTGAGCCATAATTTTCCGGTTCGTCTCAAGTTTGTTGTCAATAGTTAGTACATACAAAGCATATTTATGCATTAAAACAACATCTGACAAATATAATATAAATCATGCATCTCATTAAAAAAAACTAGTTTTATTTCTGATTCGAAACATCGTAAGTTTTTGGATTTGAGCGCTGTCAAAAAGAACCGAATTCCGTGATTGCAACCGGTGAGTCGGTTTGTTTGACAGCGTTCGGTAATACTTGGGTAAACCGATGTTCGGTTATTCCTGCTTGAATTGACTTTTTGTCAACCGAGTTTTTTCGGTTAGTTTGACAGGTTGTGGGAAAAGAAACTTTAACGAACAATCGGTTGTTTCTTTTTGAACCGAACAGACTACCGAGCGTTCAGCAGATAAAAACTCGGTTGAAATTGAACCGAGTTCGGTACTATTTTCTAAGTGTGTACACTGTGGTGGGTAGTACGCTGAACAGATGGCGGTAGTGTGTAAATGTCAAACTCAAGGGAAATGACTATGCGCGCCACAGGTGGTGGTACTACCAACTACGATACTTTTAAATTGACCGTTAAATGCTTGTTCGATGAACAACTTGCGAGAGTTATGTCTGTTTGTCTGTGATTTAATCATGTTTGATTGAATTGAAAGTTATTTTGTTACACTATTTTACAGCATTTTAATCATTTGTTGTTCTGTTTTAATTTATCATTTTTGATTATATCAGGCATAACATTTGATAACGGCACAAAAGCAATTGTAAACAAACTTTCTAAGGCCCTTTACACTTGAACCAAAGAACGCCCACACAAACCAATACCACTTTCGGAAAGGTGATAGTTATAGTTATTTTGCGTGGGCGTACTTTGGTTCACGTGTAAAGGGCCTTAGAAAGTTTGTTTACAAATGCTTTTGACGCGTTATCAAATGTTATGCCTGATATAATCAAAAATGATAAATTAAAATAGAATAAAAAATTATTAAAATGCTGTAAAATAATACCTTTTATGCATTCTTATGCCTTATGAAATGTATAAGGCTGATGTTTTGGCAAAAATGAAAAAATGGATAAAATAATAGATTCTCGTTTCGTATGCGTCCGCCACATAGACTAAAAATCTCCTTAATAAAGAACTAAAAAAAAAAAAAAAAAAACAGATAACATTTGTTGATCACATTTCAAAAATTGATGTGTGGGACACATAAAAAAATCTTTGAATTTTTATCAATGTAGGATTATAGAACTTTTTATCTACGCCACTACTGCACCATTTAAATCGAATGAGGGTGAGCAAAAGAGAAACAGATTAGTGAGGAAACAAACCATCCGTTCATATGTGTGCTAGATAGAGAAAGACGATTAAACGTCAAAAAGGTCTATGGAATTGACAACTTTGTCAAACAGTTTTGGCGTGACTTTCTACCAGTGATTTTACAAAACTGGACCAACTAATTTCTTCCCCCCCCCCCTTTTTTGCTGTTTTATTTAGCATTCCGCTAACAACCCAATTTCATTACTTCATTATGATGGCTACCAAGCCTTTGGGGATTTTCTTCATTAGAGAGTTGTATAGATTTTTCTCCTCTAGCTTACTTAAATCTTTTGTTTTTATTAGTTAGGTAGGTTCCGATTTAACACATTGTAGTTTCATTTTTATACCCATGATCTTGACTTTTTAACCTCGGGGATGAGTATTTAAGGGAGTTAGATTTTGATAAGTTCTTTAGTGGGAATGACACTGATGAAGACTGCACTTTGTTGTCGAAATACGTATCTGTCATGGATACCAAAATTAATTGAGTGGAACTAACTCTAAGACTAGAAGATCCCGAAGAAACGTGCTCAACTTTTTGGCTCAGCTCTGGTACTCTCTTCGGTCCCAAGCTAATCGATTCACCCCTCGAAACATAGGAAAATCCACTAACCCTTCATTTTATCTGTAAAATTTCATAGCGAATCAAAACAAACATTATGTAGTACTAGAATTTCGACTAGAATGGGATACGGTAATCGTTTGCTTGGGACCAATAGGCTAGTCAAGTAGTGAGCCAATTTAAAATCGTTAGTTTCGTATTGATTGTTGACTGCAGTGCTGTGCAAATTTGAGTAAATGGAAAACTTTGAAGAATTTTCAACGGCCGTGAACTCTTTTTGTTTTTATTTTTAAAACTGCTCGAATCCAATCGTATAAATTTAATTTTCCATTTGTTCCTTGATGAGCACCTTTGTTTACACCACAGGACGCTTCCCATTTTTTGTTTCGTTGCGGTTGTGTTTGATTTGTTAGTGAATCAAAATATTTAATAATTAAAATTAATACTATTTTAGTGAGCAAGCGGGCAGAACATATTTCGCATCCGTCAATAAAAAGTGTCTCCACAATGCTTTCCTTCCGGCAGCTGGTATGCTTCATCCTATCGCTGCTCTCGTTCATCTCGGTGTTCTACTCGGTCGGTAAGCTGGGGGTCTTCCTGGCCACTCCTGTCCAGCGCGATTTTAAGCATGTTCTGTTGAACAACTTCCTGGATGATCAAGCCCTGCTGAAAGCGACACTGTTTTCGTTGTGCTTCAACTCTATCTGGATAGTGCTGTTTGTGATCCAGCATAGTGCCATGAAAGCGGATCTGGTGAAAAGCATCTGGCGGAAGCTGGGCCTGGAGATGGCCGAGAGAAGTGTGTACAATATTGCTTCGGCGTACTGTTTGTTGGTGGGTGTTGAATGTAGGCCTAAGGGTGGATGGTTTTGAGTAACAGTAGTTGATTATTGCAGATTCTGCTGAAGAACTGGAAGACTACTCAATCGTACCAACTGTGGCACGTCGATGTTCAATCGAGTCCGGCCCTTTGGTGGACATTTGTTTCCGCTCACATCGTTTCGTGGGTTGTGATCTACGGAGGGAGTCTGCTGATGGATTTACCAGAATTGGTTGGGTTAAAGCAGATCTACTATGACGTTAATGATTTGGCCCCACCGATGAGTTACAAATCACGGGAACTTCGTAGCTTTTACGCCCGACTGAGACATCCTTCGTTCGTTGGCCTGTCGGTGGTACTGTGGATTACCAATTCCATGAGGTAAGTCATTTTGAACATGTTCTTTAAAACTGGTATATTTATTCTAACGTGTCCCAGCTTGGATCGCCTTCTGTTGGCTATCATTTGGAGTACCTATATGTATCTGTCCTGGAACACCAATAAGACTGATCTCGAATACCAGAAGTATCAGCTCAGTCGAAAGAAGGTCGAGCTGACAAATGTCCAGGAATGAAGATAAGAGGTTTAAAATCGTGGGTAATAATTGAAACTCTTGCTCGCAAAGCGCCCGATGCCTTGAATTAATTTATTAATATTTTGTCTTGCTGCAAACTTGCTTTCTTATACACAAATGTGTTTTCTTTTTTTTAATGTATTTCGCCGTAGCCATATACTTCATAAACTTAAGTATATCTGTATCCAAATGTCATCACGTGTGTATTTAACAAAATATTTCTAAAATAATTATAATGAAAAACTAAACTATTCTATATCACGAGTTTATTCATAGAAGATATGAGAAATCCACAATTTTGATCGTAATTTTCCATTTCACATTGCATGCGATACGTCACGGACGAATTTGAGTGACTTTAGCTGGGTGTAAATCGACAACAAAAGAACTAAGTCTAGGAACTGTCACCGGGTTAAAATAAAACAACGGGAATCTGGTATTTGATGAATTTCCTGAACCTCAATTTTCTGGCAGACTTGGTTAGTGAACCGGACAGTTTTTATCGCTGTTCATTTAAATGTGTGATTTTTCATGAATCCTATGTTTATTCGACCGATTTAATGTTCAAAAACCAACGTGACGAATTAGAAATATATAACCTAAGCCGTGGTTCCATGAACCGGAATTTTCGTGAAACAGCACGGGTTTTTGAGGCGTGGTTCATGAAAATAGTTCTAATTGCTACGCCTAGTTAGTTCTTGAACATTTATCAATTGAATAAACATTGGATTCATGAATAAAATATTCATGTCAGTGAACCGTGACAAAATTTGTCGCGCACAGTTTTCGGTTCACTACCCAAGCCTGGTTTGAAGTGGGTTTATTGATTTAATATGTGTGTGATATTTTCAAGCTTACTTACAACATATGCAAGCTATCGAAACACCAACATCATTGTTAATTCAAAATCTATATTTCTGTTGAGATAGAAAACAATCCATTAACGTTCACCTAATTACTCCAAATTTGTTGCACGTCAAAATATTACGCATGCCAATGCTTAGTGCGCGTGCTGCTTGAAATGCCTGTTCAGGTTAGCCATTATGGTAGTTCGTTGAAATTTGACTTCTCTTTGGCAAAAACGTCCAAACAGGAACGGACACTGATAGTACACCGTTTCCTGGCAGAATGTGTCCTCTTCGTTGAGGTAGGAGATTTTGAATTCGCCCTTGGAGTTCACTAAAATGGTCAAATGGAAAATTCAATTATAAACTAATTATCTAAAGACACTTTAAAAATTCTTACGACAGAACAATCCCAACAGGAAGCACGTCCTATGAGTGGAAGCCACTAGATATTGACCACCCTCGGATTCGGGTAACTGACGCACAGAAAAATGTCCCACGGCCGTATTCTTTACGTGTGGCCAGTGTGATAGTCGTTCAGTGTACTCAACCGAATACTTCCAGTGCTCCAAATTGCCGTGATCAGCAATAATGTTGAAATCCAAGCTGAAAGTAGAATCGTTATCACCAAAACGTTGGCACTGTAATTAATTATAAAATTCTCACACCCACGCGCATGCGCAAGCGAACTTACATGGTAGGATTGAGTTTCTTCATTTTGCTAAAATCAGCCACATACTCCCAGACGGCTTCCGGTTTGGTACGATGGATGATCGTGTCGATTTGATACTTGCTGTACGATGATGACAGGAGATAGTACAGGATAATGGAGCAAACGACAATGACCACTAGCTTCCGGCGAGCCCAACGAGTGGCGATCGACATATTTCCTGTATTTGCTTAAATTTTCAAATTGAAAATCGTATAAACAATGCTCGATCGAGTCTTGTGGCGATCGTTTGACCTCTCTCTAGCAACTAAACCTCTGGGAAATTGTACTGGAGTGGTCCCATGCGTATACGAATAGAGAGCATAAGATAAATAACATAAAAATCGAAAGATAAACAACGAGAGTGCGGGAGAGAGTGCTCACAAAATCATATTCAAAGTCTGTAGTGTGGAATGGTTGGTATTCATTATCCATTTTGAAGCGATCATCGGCTTTGAACCGAGAAAAGTGCTGCATCTGCATATCCTCAGAGAGGCAGGATTCTGATTTCGTCTATGCATATGTATGAGAATTTTGTGTTGTGCTAGCATTGCTTCGAATTCAATTACTCCAGTCGTGAGCAGAACGGGCATCAATCAAAAGAAGGCAGCATCTTATTCAAAGTAATGGCAATTCTTGATATATGGTGTTGTGGAGAGTGACATTTTTGGTAACGACATATGCGGTAATGGCACAACTCTCCAATATTAATAAAGTAGCTTACATTGAGATAAGACACAATTATTGATCATTGATCATATCATTATAATATAGGTAATTTAATTATGATTTTTCTCTAAATTTCCTCGACCCAAGCAGAACACGATGCCGACCTTTATTTTTAACGAAATAATGTACCTATTGCGGATTCTAGTTATCCGTTAATTTTTATGTTCTGATGTTTTTATACGCTAGAAGGGTCGCTTGTCAACTTTCTACTGTTATGTTTATCACGCTTAACTGTTGTAAGTTTTTATCCAAGTCTTGGGGAGGCCTGTTCTGCAAGTGGCATTTTCTGGCCACACCATGGTGTAGTGAATTTGTGTACCAAAAATATCCATTAGTACTGTCCCAATGACGCGTTCATCTAGATAAAATTGATAAATAGCAGATTTTTAGAGATGGGCCTAATCTTAGATATATAGGCCAGCATTAGATCCATTTCCCCTATATATTTTTTCCTTTAAGCCATTGGCTCCATTGGCTTTAGACATTTTATATATATTACCTACACTGCCTATAACCCCATATCAGTCCCATATGGAAAAAGTAGGCATTGAGAAAATGGCAGCTGAAGTTAAGAAGTGCAATTTCCATGTAAATATTAAAACAATCATAGTAAATTAATCGACAATTTTGTCAAGTTAAAAGCAGTTGCAATGAAGCTTGCATGTATTGTTATATTAACGAAAAATATGGCGATTCAAAAAACAGAAATGTAGCTAGACCTCTGGACGATTGAATTCAGGATGGGACTGATATGCGATTACTTTGCTTGATGGGACAAACTGACTTGATGTTGTTTTCACATTTTTCATGATCAAAGTCCGTAGTTTTATCACGTAATATGAAAGTAGATGCCAATTGATAGTGGATAGAGTTATTATCTTAAAATTGAAGAAAATCCATATGGGACTGATATGCGATTATAGGCAGTACAGCCAACCGGTGAACATTCGTATTTATTTCAGTTACCGGTCCCTTTCAAATTGTATCATTATTTATGAACGGCCTTATATTTGAAAAGACGTTTCACATTCATCTAGTGATGTCAGATTTTCATTCGAATAATCGTTTAATCGATTAACGAACCGAAAAGTAAACTATTTATAATCGGTTAGATCATGCCGATATAAGCATTAACATCTCCACAGGATCATCACCGATCATTTCAAACATGTGCTGCACTCTCATTGGTGGAAAAATGGCAGCACAGCGAACAAAAAATAATCGATTAGTTGTTAATCGAGTAATTAAAAAATGGGACATATCTGATTTTGGTGTGATTGTTTTGATAAAAATGAGCGCAAAATTTCATCTCTACTGAGGGGGCAGCAAAACTACAAAATTACCTTGAATACGGGGGGTATTCATTGGATGAAAGGGACCGTGAAAGAGGACACTAAAATAGAAAGTTTTTATTCCAAAAGTTTCATCTTAGAGCAACCGTAACGGTCGTTGTCATTTGCGTGACTATTTTAACAGCGCACAGCGCTCTCATTTTAGTTTAGTCACTCTTCTCCACACCGGTCGCTGCTATCGCGGTTATCAATTTATTCGCCTTTGTCCGTACCGGTAGTGAGCATTTTGACATTTCTACGAATAGCAACCTTTCTCCCGCGCTGCTATCGCGCTGCTATCGCGCTGCTAAATTTGGTAGCGCGCTTCTCACCGAGAAGCCGACTGCTATTTTAGTTACTCGTATGGCAACCCCCGATACGGTAGCTGCGCTATGATGAGGGCTGCTAAAATGAGTTTAGCAGCGTACCGTTACGGTTGCTCTTAGTATTCATCTTTGGTACAGCCATTCCATAGCCAAAATTATATAGGGGTGGTTCTCAGAATTTCGTAAAAATTTGTAGTTTTGTTCCTTATCGCAAAATATTAGACCTTTATTTTTTTTGCCATTAGGGTGACCATTTTCACGCTAGGGTATTCCAAAAATATTTTTTTCAAGAATAACTTCTTTTGTTTTAATTCATAACTTTTGAACCACTGGATAGTTTTGGGTTTTTGCTCAATACTCCTATGCAACTAGACTACGGTCGTGATCATGTTACAGTCGCTATAAATCAATTGAGACGAATGATAGTCTAGTCGCATAGGAGTATTGAGCGAAAACCTAAAACTATCCAGTGGTTCAAAAGTTATGAATTTTTGAAAAAAGTCATTTTCCAGAATATCAGGAAATATCCGGGAATTTGAAAAGTAACCGGGAAAAGCGGGAAAAACCCGGGAATTCGACGAGAGAACCGGGAAACATAAATTAACCATACCATAAGAACAAATGTTTACATCAGAATTTCAGAATAAACCATTAAAACAGAGTGATCCAGAGAGTACCAAATTAATGTCTTGCTCTATTTGCTGTTGCTGCATAATTTTCATCAGTTTCTCATCTTATTATTTTTAGAATTTAATCACTCAGCAAAATTGCAAATTGATTTTTGTCGTTTCAATTTCAGATGTAAAGTGCATGGTCCTTAAAAGAAAATTTTGAAATCTTCTAAAATGACGTAAGAATTTAATTTAGAACTTGCATTCTTCTCCACAGAAATCCCTCCAAATTCATCTAAGAATTTCTAAGGGCTTCATGTCAAAATAATTCTGGAATTGTGCTCAGAACTTCTCTTTCAAAAACTGTGTGGGAATCTCAATATTTGTTTGAAATCAACACTTTGAATTCTTTTAAATTTTATTAAAAATTCCAGGCACTGTTGGTCATATTACCCCTTGGCACGTATTACCCCACCTTACCCTACTGCTTCTTTCCTTTATTTAACGTCGGTCACTGTTCCGCAATCTAGTGCCAATCACTTTGACGGCAATCGAATGTGCAGGAAGGCAGCTTCCACACCTGCGTAGGATTTCGCACCCATTCAATACACATGGGCCGGGACCAACGGCTTTACTTCCCTTCCGAAGGAAGACGTGACCAGAGATTTTTATGCCTCAGAAAAATCCCACGGACCTCGGCTGGGATTGAACCCAGACCCATTGGGGTGAGAAAACAGTCACGCTTATCACTACACCACCGGCGCCAGCTACCCTACTGCTGTTTAAATGTATAACGGAGTTTAACGTCACACTCTGTCAACCATTTAAACAGCGACAGAACGTTGATAGAACATTCACATAGTCCATTTTACGAAATAATAGAAGCAGTGTTTGGAAAATCATTCTCAAATCGTCCCTGCGAGAATAAACTCGCGTGCGAATGCGGCAAGCAAAATGACATAAATCATGCATATTCACGCAGTCACAACGCTGAAAAATAATTCCAGCTTTAAACTCATAATAACCGCACAAACGCCAATTGATATCATGCCTATGCATGTTGTGTTAGTTTTCCAACCCCTGATGTGCAAACAATAGTAATAACAATGAATAACGCCAAAATATAAAGCAATGAATTTTTGAACCTGAACACTCATCGGTGATTGTTGTGACGTTGAATTTTGCAAGGCAAAACTCATAGGCGCATAAACTCATGCATGAGATTTGAGTTTTTGAGTTTTCCGAACACTGAAGCAGCCAATTGCCTGACAAAATTTGATGATATTGATATTGATTCTCAAAGTCGTTAGGTTACTGTCTCCTGTCAAACCTCATCAACTGATCAGAAACGTCTCATAAAATTCTCTACACGGATAGAAATCTCCTTACACCTTTCGGCAAATTCTATAGCTGATTACTCATAAAATGTATAAGTGAACTAATAGCAGACCTTGTTAAAAATTATCTTGTGGCAAATTAAATGTATAAATGGCCACACATATTGTTTATGCATTCTTATAGGACCGATGTGGTTTGTCTTATGGAATTATAAGGCTGATGTTTTGGCAGAAATGTATAAGTGAAACGAGTGAAACACATGAATAAAATAATTAATTTTCGTTTCGTGTATGGAGGAGTGCACCGATGGCAATAGTTAATAATGAACATGTAGTGTTATTGATTAGTAAACATTGCCCACAGCGTATGTACTTTTTCTCGAGTGAGTGAACTCAAATTCATCGGTGCACTCGTCTGGTTTGTGTCAACTAAGGACCAAAACAAGAGAAAAAGTAAAAAGTCGATGTTTTCTTTCGCAAGTAATATTTAATTTTGTTTGCTGCGGTTTGAATGTTGCTTTTGGGATTTTTCAGTGTAGTGGATTTATATGGAACAATCTTTTCTACACGAAACGAAAATCAATTATTTAATTCATGTGTTTCACTTATACATTTTTGCCAAAGCATCAGCCTTATACATTCCATAAGACAAACCACATAGGTCCTATTAGAATGCAAAAAAGGTATGTGTGACCGCTTATACATTTCATTTGACACATGATCTTTATTAACTTTTTGCAAGGCGTCTGCTTATTAGTTGACTTATACATTTTATGAATAATCAGCAATGGAAATTTGCCAAAAGGTATAAGGAGATTTCTATCCGTGTACTGACTGACTGCTTATGTGCTTAATATGGTATTTTGCCATAAGAGTTACATAGTCGTTGTCAAGGTGAATTTCGAACGGTTTGGGATTGTTTTTGTCAAATACGATTAAATATACGGAACTATTCACACACGAGTCGAGCTCGTGTTATACGGGCAATATTTGCGGCGATGCTGGTTCGGGATTTGCGGTGGTGCTAGTTGTTCTAGTTGTCTCTCTTGTACCGCCGCAAATCCGGTCCCGTATATGGCACAAGCTCGGTTTTGTCTGAAATCAGCTAAAAATCGGATTCTCTGGAGGAGTGAAAAATCATAATCACCAAAAATTGGCGAAAAGGAAACGAAATTATCGGCTGTCACTACCGAGTAAGAATAAATGAATTATTGAGTGAGAATTATTATCATGGTTAATTGGGTTCTTTAATTTTGAAAAATGTATCAGTTTTTATACATCATCTGAAAGAGCTTCGTTTTCTGAGCACAGGTATATTTTTTTCGAACCCACACACTTTCATCTTAATTTTTAAATCAAGACTGAAAAAAAAATAATAACTTCACTGTTTGACACTAAACTAACAAACTGACAGCTCGCTCTCATATAAAGTGACACCGAGGGGCGCTAATAAGGTGATTTTTGCAAATGTAATCGTACTTATTTAAAATAGTTCCAGTGTACCAAAATTGATGAAATTTTGGGTTTGGGTTCCACTGTTAATGCAGATTACGAATATGCATTTACCTCAATACCCTTAAAGAGCCCAATTGGTGCTTGTACAAAGTTCTCTCGTTTTTTGCTTTGACCTTTTACATACTTAATATGTGTACACATAAAGTCCACACATACTATTCATTTGACATATACATTTCATGTGTACTTCTGAGTGGAATCTCCCTAATAAAAAATTACCATAAACGAACGATAACCCAAATGATGGAACTATTCCACAAATGGTTTGGATGATACCCAGAACACGTCGTTAAGCAAATTAACCATAACATTTTTATTAGGGCTGTTTAGTTAAAATTTAGAGCATGCTTTTTCAACAAACTGTCCGTATATTAATTTCCACCAGTGTATCTGGAAAAACCGAGGTAGAACTGGTTGCACTGCCTTTGCTTGCGCGTGGGCGCGTCTCAATGAGATGTATACAGGTGAGGAAATGATCGTAAAATGGTATTCGTGTGGTGCAAAATATTTTATAGTGTTTGTGAAGCATACCTTGCGTGACGTCAAACTCCACTTTTTTCATGCCAATTTTTTAGGAGTTTTTCGTCATCACCGATTGTTTACCTCTTTTTTGCTACTAATACCAACAAATACCCTCTTGTGCCACACCTGTATATACCTCATTGGGCGCGTCTGGTACCCGAGGGGTGATTTGGCGCATGATCAGATGTTTTGCATATAAACATATTTTGACAGTTGTGTTGCAGCGCAAAAAACGCAAGCATTCACAATATCATGTTGCGTGGTATACATTTTTCACTTTACTTCTGCAATATTTTTCGAATGTAGAAGCTTTCTCTACGTGGGTTTTCAAATTTGTTTCGTATACGTGTCGATGTTAATTTGTAACTAGTGTCCAGGTGATTTCAATAATAAATCAAGCAGCTGTGTTGATTAGCAGATGGAAAGCGAAGGAGGAACGAAGAAGAGAAGCAGATTTTTCCTCAAGGAACCACTAAAGGTAGGCAGAAGGGCAGAAGTGCCTGGTTCTGTGGTGGAAGTGTTAGCGTGTCATCAGCTCGAGGGAATACGGTTCATCCATCGGGGTCTGAAACAGGTTAGTACTTGTTGTTCTTTGGGGGAGGTCATCAATATACTTTCATGGCTACGCAATTTCTTTTTCGCAGAACAAAGGGGTAATCTTAAACGATGAATCAGGATTGGGTAAGACACACCAGGTAGTCGGTTACTTATCGGCTACGGTTGGCACAGCTGATAAGGGTGCAATCGTGTGCAGCAGTTTAGAGCGTATACATCACTGGTTGTATCATTTGGAGCTGCTCACTGAACTTACGACTGTGGTTCTCGAAGATGTTGATAGTGGTGAGTCGACTTTGTAATTCAAATGAAACTACCATTACATAACATTAATGTATCAATATTTTGCTTTCAGATCACTTATCAGGAAATCATCAGATTATTTTGGCCACGTTTGAAAGTTTTGAAAAGCAATCTGATTCGCTTCTATCGAAGGAAAAGGAAATCAAACTTTTAGTTATTGACGAAACCAAAAATGAGCACTGCGAAATATCATTACTGACCCTGATTTCGAAATTTACCACCACTGCAAAGCTTTTCCTAACTACTCAAAACATATTGGACGATTTGGTTCGTCTTTCCTTGAGGCTAAAACTCTGCCACCTGCAGTTCCATGGAGAAACATTAAAAGAATTACTTGAAGGTGGCAACGCCAACAAGCCGCTGTCAAAGTCACGCAAGTTAAAGTTATTCTTCTTGACCCGAAGCGTGCTGCTCAGAAGATATCGATCTCATCACAAAAACATTCTTCCATTGATAGAGGATAGTGAATTTAGGTTCTGTTTTGCTGCATGGAAGATCGCCAACGGAATGGAAGGTTGTCAGAGTCAAGTTCTGCTGGAAGATTCCCAAATTTTGGTGGATCAAAGTATTGTACCAGAAGTAATAGAAAGTACCAGCGGACTGATGTTCAACCCGGAATTAGGTGAAAATGATACGGTTTGTGATACCAGTTTGAATATGGCAATAGTTGGCGAAGCGGAAAGTTCTGGAATTGGGAGGGATTTGTCGCATGACACTGATGACGGAAATAATCGTTCTGCTGCAACCGTTGCTTACAAGGGGAGCGAGCCTTTGTTTGACTGCGAGCAGAGCACGGAGGAAATGCCTAAATTAGTGTTGGAAAGCTCTGACTCGGAAACCAAATCTCCTGTTGATAAAGTTAGAAAGTCGCCTTTAGCAAAGGTGTCAGGTAATGTTTCTTTAGCATTTTGCAATAACTGTTAGACAATTGTACAATTCCATATTTTTTTTATTTTAGAATCCGAAATGACTCAATCCAAAACACGTAACATAGAAGTACCTGAAACCGAACGCTCATCACCAGCCACAGAGCATCAAACCGATTCGGAAGGATATCTCGAATTTGGTCAAGCGTTGGTCCAGCCCAGCTCCCAATCGGAAAGCTCGTCGGAAACCTTAGTTCGTAAATCAGCCACAGTTCTCGCGGATGACAAATACAACTTTCCAATCGACCGATTACTTCGATGGAAATCTCCTTCATCGTCATCAACGGATCTCGAAGTTCTATCCAAGGAAAGTGTCCTTCCTAACCAACCTATTTTGGTATCCAGTTCCAGCTCAAATGGACGAGAAAAGTCTCCGGATTTATTCAGCGACACGGACGAAGAAGCTGACGAAACTGTCAAACTCGGTACTCAAGACGATTCTCTTATGAATCTTCTGCTCAAAAGTCCAGTCAACTTGGAGACAACTTCCAAACCGGACGTCCCGAAACCGTTGCCAAAGTTTCTCCGAGCCAAAGTAAGCACACCCATTTCTAAACTACTCCACGGCTCGCTACACGAAGAACCGGATCTCTCGGTGGAACGCTCTTCCTCTAACGACATATTTGCCGATCTATCCGTTAAAAATCGGGATCCCAATCGGACAGACGTGTTCGAAATCACCGACAACAACGCCTTCGGTAATCGTATCCAGGTGCACGCCGAAAGTGACAGCATGTCCCCGTTACGGGATTCTGACGATGTACAGTTTGTTAGTGTCCTGCGTGGGCCCGACAATCAGATTGAAATCGTAGACCTGGACACGGAAGTGTGTACTCCGAAAAGTCAAAATGGCGCCCCACCAAATAGAGCTAAGAGAACACCCTCGTCAAAAGAATCCCTGTTTTCCACACCGCGAGGATGGCTTACGAAAGGCAATCGTTCATCTGACAGCGAGGCGTCTCCTAGGACACCAACTACAGGGCGGAAATCTTCCTCTACGGAAAGGGCCAAGAGCACCGGTAGACGGTCTACCGGAAGCAGCAACGTCAAGCGTAAGAAACTGGAAAATTGGTTCCGCGATGATGACGATGATGACTTCGAAGATCGTCAACGGGTTTCGACGAGTGTGAATCGGAGGAAATCCGCTCCCAGCAGTAGTGCGGGGTGCGTTAAAAGGATCTCGCCCAGGAAGAAGTGTTTTCAGGACCGGATCTATCAGAGGTATAATCAAATATTGGTGTCACCTAGCGGAGTTGATAGCGATTTCGAGTGAGTGTACCTATTGCTTTTATTTTTAAAAGAAATGACAAAATTTTAATATTCCTTTTTGTTGTGGAAATGTACTGTTATGTTGAGTATTATTTACTTAAATATATGATAAAAAAAATTTCGTGGATAAATCGCGGAATCCTTATTTGAGTAGAAAGAAACTTGCCTATATATAATACCTATAATATTAGGATCTTTATAGGCTGTCTACCACGTGGATAGCGATCGGGTTGGAAAATTCCTCGTTTCATTTTTTTATGAATAATGTCCATGCAGATGTCTAAAACCTTTCACAAGGTATGGGGGCAAACCAGCCTCAGGCTGAAAGTCTTCTTAATAAAGATAAATCAATCAATCAACCTTTCACAAGCTGTCCACGTGCCTTATGGACAGCTCCTTAAGCCAATTAGTCCAATGATGCTTCTGGTGTATTTGATCGGCTTATTTACTAACTTAAGGCCCGTTTCTATCTGATTTCTTGGTCTGATTTTGACCGCTGCCATAATACAAAATTTGATCGATTTTACTTTCGACACACTTTGTCGTACCCCCCTGTTTGCTTGTGTTCACACTGTACATGTCGAAAGAACTGTCAATTTAGATTTCTAAAAAAAAAAACCGTATCAGGAATCAAAAGTAAATACTTCCATAATGAAATTGCTCTAGCTTCGGCAGGCGTAGTTGCTTTTATTATTTTAAATAAAATGGGAAGGAGAACGTGAACTTTGTCGAGTAGGAAATTGTTGCTCATCTTGTCCTTCAAGAACTATTATATGAGCATGAGCATGAGCATGATTGATCGCCCACGGTTGCTACTCTGTTATTGCCAGACCAGCTGTAATTACACAGAGAACCAATAGACGATGCTTGGGACTAGCAATCATCCTCAATGTGTAAAAACTGGTGATCGCGAATTAGGCAATACCAGCGCCAGCCGCGCCTGAACGCAGGTCAAGAAAGGAATGGGTAGGAATGTGTTGACGTGACACTCGCTTTGATGGAAGCCGAGGAGTCCTCTGCACTTCCACGAGGAATCACAGGGATGTTGGGTAAGAGGGTTGGGTTTGCAGCAGGGTTCGTTTTGGTAAAGGATAAGCTGAATTGATTTCCTAACAATTATATAAAGCGAAGGAGCTTGGGATTCAGTAAGCAAAAACGTTTGCCACTAGGCAGACGAGGTCCTTTTTAATAATGGAGTTGCTGTTATTACCATGTAGTCATGTTAACAAATAAAACGATTGACGAATCTTGGATGTGGATGGGCTTGAGATTAGACTCATGATGTTCTGCTCAGTAAGCAAAACCGGTTGCTCTAAGGCCACCGAGCCCCTCATATCACAAATATCGCTAAAGATCAGCGAACTTTCCTGAAGTTCTGTAAATTTCTCTTAAATTCCAAGAAACTTAATAAAATTCTGAATTTTTTTTTAAACATCTGTAGGGTTTTCAGTAGATTAAACATTTACCATCTGAATTTTCTGAAGCTCCTAAAACAAATCTGTAAAGTTTTCTGAAGTACTGCATTTCAGCTCTGAAGATCTACGAACTGCCCTCAAGTTCAATAATTCTCAGTAGATCTACGAACTTGTCTAAAGTACTATAATTTTGTGTTTGGATTCTTCGCCTTCCATAAAGTTCTGCAGATTTATCTGAATTTCTTTGAAATTCCCCAAAGCTCTACAAATTATCTAAAAATATTTGAGCTTCGCTGGAGTTTCAAAAATTCCTCTGAAGATTTTCGAATTTCTCTGAAGTTGTGTAAATACTTCTAAAGATCGGCGAACGTTCCCGAAGTTTTGCAAATTTTTCTATGAATGTACGAACTTCTGGAAGTCCTACCGACTTCGTTTAAGGCCTACGGACTTCTCTGAATTCTTCAGATCTATCTATTTGCAACTCCCATGGAGTTCGGCAAAATCTTGGACTTTCGTACTTCGCTGAGATTTGTTTTTGGATATGAAGTACTTTTCTGAAATTTTACGAATTTTTCTGAACCACTGAAAGTCTCTGAAAATCCGCAAAATTTCTTGCAGTTCTGCAGATTTCTTTTAATATCTAGTCTTCTGAATTTTTGCAAATACCTTTAAAGTTCTGTAAAGTTGTCTGAAGCTCCGTAGTTCTATTCTCAAGATCTACGAATTACCTTGAGACTCAATAAATTTCTCAGTAGATCTGCAAACTTCTCTGAAGTTTGGTTAATTCTTCTGTAGGCTCTCGGGCTACCCTGAAGATCTGAAAATTTCCCTCGAAATCTTCTTAATTACATAAAGTTCTCAAAATTTATCTGAAAATATTCGAGCTTCCGTCTCTCAAGATCTACAAATTTCCCTGAAATCGTATAAATATTTAAAAACAAAAATCGTTGTACTTCCCTGCAAATTTCACTGAAGAGCTATTAAAATTTCCGAGATTCTAAAAATTATTTATTTATTTATTAATTCTAAAAATTATTTATTTATTTATTTGTTTATTTATTTATTTATTTATTTATTTCTTTAATTACTTACTTACTTATTTACTTACTTACTTACTTACTTACTTACTTACTTACTTACTTACTTATTTATTTACTTACTTACTTACTTACTTACTTACTTACTTACTTACTTACTTACTTATTTACTTACTTACTTACTTACTTACTTACTTACTTACTTACTTACTTACTTACTTACTTACTTACTTACTTACTTACTTACTTACTTACTTACTTACTTACTTACTTACTTACTTACTTACTTACTTACTTACTTACTTACTTACTTACTTACTTACTTACTTACTTACTTACTTACTTACTTACTTACTTACTTACTTACTTACTTACTTACTTACTTACTTACTTACTTACTTACTTACTTACTTACTTACTTACTTACTTACTTACTTACTTACTTACTTACTTATTTATTTACTTACTTACTTACTTACTTACTTACTTACTTACTTACTTACTTACTTACTTACTTACTTACTTACTTACTTACTTACTTACTTACTTACTTACTTACTTACTTACTTACTTACTTACTTACTTACTTACTTACTTACTTACTTACTTACTTACTTACTTACTTACTTACTTACTTACTTACTTACTTACTTACTTACTTACTTACTTACTTACTTACTTACTTACTTACTTACTTACTTACTTACTTACTTACTTACTTACTTACTTACTTACTTACTTACTTACTTACTTACTTACTTACTTACTTACTTACTTATTTATTTACTTACTTACTTACTTACTTACTTACTTACTTACTTACTTACTTACTTACTTACTTACTTACTTACTTACTTACTTACTTACTTACTTACTTACTTATTTACTTACTTACTTACTTACTTACTTACTTACTTACTTACTTACTTACTTACTTACTTACTTACTTACTTACTTACTTACTTACTTACTTACTTACTTACTTACTTACTTACTTACTTACTTACTTACTTACTTACTTACTTACTTACTTACTTACTTACTTACTTACTTACTTACTTACTTACTTACTTACTTACTTACTTACTTACTTACTTACTTACTTACTTACTTACTTACTTACTTACTTACTTACTTACTTACTTACTTACTTACTTACTTATTTATTTACTTACTTACTTACTTACTTACTTACTTACTTACTTACTTACTTACTTACTTACTTACTTACTTACTTACTTACTTACTTACTTACTTACTTACTTACTTACTTACTTACTTACTTACTTACTTACTTACTTACTTACTTACTTACTTACTTACTTACTTACTTACTTACTTACTTACTTACTTACTTACTTACTTACTTACTTACTTATTTATTTACTTACTTACTTACTTACTTACTTACTTACTTACTTACTTACTTACTTACTTACTTACTTACTTACTTACTTACTTACTTACTTACTTACTTACTTACTTACTTACTTACTTACTTACTTACTTACTTACTTACTTACTTACTTACTTACTTACTTACTTACTTATTTACTTACTTACTTACTTACTTACTTACTTACTTACTTATTTATTTACTTACTTACTTACTTACTTACTTACTTACTTACTTACTTACTTATTTACTTACTTACTTACTTACTTACTTACTTACTTACTTACTTACTTACTTACTTACTTACTTACTTACTTACTTACTTACTTACTTACTTACTACTTTACGGCAGTATGAAAAATTAATACAAGTTGAAAATCTGGGTTGAGCAGAGGGCCATTAATGCACCTGCTTTGCCTAACCCGTAGGCAAAAAAGTGCGCGCTTGACTTGCTCATATACTGTCTGCGGCTGTGGAATAGTACTAGCGACGTTTCATCACTACCTAAAGCCCCACGTTAACGGCGCCGGTGGTGTAGTGGTAAGCGTGATTACCTCTCAGGGAGTAAAGCCGTTGGTCCCCGGTTCATTAGTTGATGGGTCGATAGGTAGGGTCCAGGTGTGGGAGCTGCCTTCCTGGCGTCGGTAGCATTGGTCCTCAGCACGGGAAACTAGATCGACGGAAAACAAATTAAGGAAAAAAAAAGCCCCATGCACGTTGCCGAAAGCATTTCCAGTCGATGGTGTGGGATAATGCAAATCAAGAGCAAATTTTCATTACGTCGAATGTAACAAAGGTAAACAAAGTCGAGCTATCAGTGTCAATCGATTCTCCTGCTATTACACTATATACTGTCCGAATATAGGATCATATCCCATTTTTAAATTTATTTACCAGTCGAATTGCTTTTTGACGTTATCACCTTCCGATCAAAATAGTTTTCGATGTTACTTAAGTCACCCGATTTCTATGGAGATGCCGTTTGCCTTAAGTAACAGCACTGAGAAACCCGTGAAAAGTGTACTTTCGTCGTTTCGCTTTCTCATTATTAAAGTGAATAAATCGAACTGTTTGTTGCTAAGATGATTTCGGTGGTCCTAAAATGATGAATGGGCTGCACGTAAGGAGACGTAATTGATAATTCTCCCGAATATCCTGGTAAATACACTTTGACTTAAGTAACAATAGGGGCCACCAAACGACGTATAATAACTTTTGACTCAAAAACCAATATTTCTTAGCATGAAAGCTAG